CTGCCAAGAGGTCAACCGAACTGTTGTCACAAGTACGGACAAGGAGGTTCGCAACTGAGACAGTCCGCGGCTCGCCGGTGCGCGCAGCCAGCTGTCCAGCCATTATTGTGACCAGTGCGTCGTTAGCAAGAAGCACAGTACCTTGACAGGGAGGCCCGGGTGTGACTGGCTGCAGGTGCGAACGCGTCGCGTCACATACCACCAACATACCACTACACCGCGATCGCAAACCGGGAACACCATGAGGAAGTCATGACGAACATGCTGATAGGATGAACAGACACGCTAGTAGTACATAAAACGAACGATGTAGTCACAACAGAGGAGAAATCCGCAGCACGACCACCGGACCCCAGGCTTACAACTTGGACTTGAACTGGTCCTCCGTAACACCCTTGCCCATCGCAGCCGTTGACGACACACCGCCGGTGACCGTCTTCATCAGGTTGTCCATATAGTCGGCGCCGCTCCACCTCTGGTGCGTTAGCACGTCGCAGCCAATTTCGCGCTCGCGCCGCTGGATGAGCTCGACGTAGGCCTTCATACCCTCCTGGGCGTATGAACGAGCGAACAGATCGCTGATGTACGCGTTCGAGTGCAGACCACCGAGCTGAAAATTCATGCATATAATCAGCAGGAAGAAACAGAGGGTTGACTGGACGACGACGTACCGTGATGAACTGCCAGACGAAGCCCAGCTTGCCGAGCTCCCAGACGTACGACTTCATGTCGTCCGTGTTCAAGCCAGCAGCCTCCCAGTTGAAGGACGGGCTGAGGTTGTACGCGAGCCATTGCTGAGGGTAGACCGCGTGCACGCCCTCCGCGAACTCCTTCGCCTGGGAAAGAATGGGCTTCTTCGTCTCCATCCAGAGAAGGTCAGAGTACGGCGCAAACGCAATGGCTCGGTTGATGGCGCATTGGGTGCCGCCCTGGTAGCGGTAGAAACCTTCCCGTGTGCGAGCAGCATCCCAGTCCCAGAACGGCACCTTCTTGAGCCCGAACTCCTTCTGCGCAATGGCGACGGCGTTGGGGTACGACATGTGTGCGATACGGGCAGCGAACTTCTCAAGCGTTGAGTGTGATGCGCCCTGAGCACGAAGGGCGTTCGAGAGCGTCGTTGAGAAGAGCTGGATGTTGGCGGACGCCATCCACTGCTCCTCGACGGCCTCGAGCGCCGCCCCACTCTTGCCTGCACGCTCGGCCTCGTTCAGCTCCACGACGAGCGGACGAAGATCCGGGTTTGTCGAGCCGAGGATGAAGGGGTGATCGCGCTCGTCCACGTTGGTCGTGATGAGGGTCGCAGCCTCCGAGTCTGTCCGGGCAATGACAAGGTTGTCCACGCCCATGATGTCGAACTGGAGACGGATAGCCACGAGGCGGTTAATGTGCTCCTGGATGGGGACGAGCACCTTGCCCGCCATGTGGCCGCACTTCTTCGTACCGGGAGCCTGATCTTCGATGTGGATGCCGGCGGCGCCCTTCTCGACGAACATCTTCGCGAGCTTCATCGTCGCCGTCAATCCGCCATGGCCGGTGTCAGCGTCAGCGACGATCGGTCGGAGATAGTCGATGACGGGGGTCTCGGCGAGCTCCTTTTCTGACTTGCGCGAGCGTTCCTCGCGCTGCTTGCGGTCGTGGAAGAGCTGCGCCATGAATAGGTGCTCGACCTTGTTTGGCACGGTGTTTGACGGGTAGTCTGCGAGGTCCGGTCCAGGCTCGTTGGTGCTCGAGGCTGTGCTCGATGACTGCCATCCAGACACATAGACCGTCTCGAGGTACTTGGCCATCTGCGTGACCTGCACGGGATCAAGCCTGTGACGCACTAGTCAGATACCATCTGGACAGTGAGGAATGGAGAGTACGCACGCGCCGTAGGTGTGTGATGGCGTCCCATTCCTGAACCGTTCCGACAGGATGCGGTAGAGCTTCTTTGCCTGCACGTTCGAGGGGTAGGAGATGGGAAGGGTGCCGCGCTTCGAGACGACGTCGGCCGCGCTGTATGGCCTCTTGGTCTTCGCCCATCGAGAATCCTGGACGACGCGACAGGACGCGACAGAGCGACAAGAACGACGTCAGTAACTGCTGATCACTTCGGAGCTGCACGCGCACCTTCCACCACTGCTCGACCTGCGCGACCTCGGCCTGGAATGCCTTGCGTTCGCTCGCCATTGTTGTCGTGAAATGCGGGAAAGTGGTGGGGAACGAGCTGGGTGGGATGTTAGGAGAGAAGGGGGATGCGCGGGGGGTTGTGGGGGTCGGAATGGGATTCCATGCTGCATATGAATGCCTTTGAGCCTGGCACCGATCGCATGAATGTCTTCACTCGTCGGCCCCGGCGCATGTGATTGAAAACCAATCAGCCGGGCAGAGCCGCCTGTGGGGCCCCGCCTAGACGCTCGGTGCGCCGTCCCCGCCTCCAGGCCCGCCGTCGGCCGAAACGTCACCGACAGGGGCCGAGACGTCCACGGACGCAGCTGGACGTGCGGACTGCGGCGCGAGCGAGCGTATGCGCTCTAACACCCAGTGCCCATATCTGTGCCTGCGGGCCTACCGCCAAGGCCGCCCTCGGTCACACTCTGCGGCCGTGTGGCGGAGCTTGCGCGGTCGGTACCACAGCTCTGGGCAGCACTACTTGAGTAGTGACGTCGCTCACCTCTCATACGGAACGTCGCCGGACGTTCGCATGTCGCAGGGAGCTGGACATGTGAGCGGGCGCACAGACGAGATGCGTCCGAAGGCCTGATGCTCCATGTATTGCTCTCTACCGCCTGTTTCCATCGTACACGAGTCCCGCAAGGCCATACCGAATGAAGAATGCCACCAAGCTACCGCACACCTAGAACGTTTGGGCCAAGGCGTCAGCACAACTCAATTGCATCTGCGATCCATCGGAGCGTCTCGCATCCCGCGAAGACAGGAGACAGGCGAAGCGCGGCGACACACAACCCGTTACGGAATTGTGTCGCAAAGTCGCAAACGCTCCGCGGAAGCCAAGAGGAACAAACCGCGGCTCACCTGTGTCGCAATTAGCACCCTTGTTAGACTGTCTTCCCGCATCGGCCCTAATCGGAGTAAGAACACGTTCAGAATAGTCAAGTTCGTGCTTGACTCGATCTCTCCTGTCTTTTCATCAACCGCGAGTTCCACGAGACCCAAGCCGGAAAACAGGCGGAGCACGAGCGTGGCCAGCTTAGACGGGCGCTTGTCCTTGAACTCGGCTTTCGAGGGATGGAGCAGTTGTGTCTCCGCATCGTATCTGCGGGGCGCCACGGGGAATCAGCTACAGACGGGATGCTGGGGCCCCCGTGGGGCAACGATCCCACACAGGTCCTAGGTTAGTACGTACCTCGGAACGCGATGCCGCGGACAGGGCACCAGACCGAAAAGCTGCGGGCACGACAGGACGAAGTTGAAGATCTGGGGTAGGAAGAACAGCAGTAATGTCTTCGAGTAGTGAGCCTGGATCCCGACGACCGCAAACGCCATCCCTGCCACATAACACAGTGTGTCGCCGGGAAACGCACGGGCGGGGTACCTGCCATGGTAAAAATATTTGTGAGGCCCTCTCCAAGACATGCGGCAGGTACGTACCAGTTGTGGTACATGAACCCCAAGCACACGCCCAAGAGCGGCAGCATCAAATACAGACTGAACAGATGCCGCGCGACTAGGATCCTACTCCCGTAGGCCATGCCCGCACTCCACATCCCTCCAACCTTGACACCGTCGGTGACATGCAAGGGGAGAGGTATCCGGAAGCCGACGGGCCACGGGAGGAACAGGAGGTCATTGAGGATAATCGAGGACGCAATGATGACTGCCTGCGAGACCTCCGAGCCGTTGATGCCTGCGAGGATGTTGATGCTGTTCGTGCAGAAGGTGGAGAGGAGGGACATGTATACATAGTACAGCGGACCTGCACGGGTACCTTAGGAACGGCAAGGAAGCACAGAAGAACTTGGACGCACCGAGGTGAAGCATGGTGCCCAATAACCACCGCAATGGAAGGGGAACTACGACGTCCGTGGCGCCACGTTCGGAGTAATAGACGATGAGCAGCGGGATGGACGCAATGATGGGTATTGGAAGCTTGTGGCGCCATCGGATGTCGAAAACGTCGTCCAGGAACCCAAGCATGGTCGCCATGAGGAGAGAGAGGAGCGACGAAAGATACACCGCCAGCTTGCGACCACACGCCGATGTCAGTGTGGGACGCATACCGAATCTTGAGCGACTCACCTGGTGATGAGGAAACTCGTCAACGACAAGGCCTTCGCGAGCTCTCCGTGCAGAGTCATAGTGGGTAGTAATCGATTCAGCGAATGCGTAGGGAATAAATAGAATGAGAAGTATAATATATATTGAGGCGCAGACGAGTCCCTGGCTCTCCGGGCTACAGCACAAGAGCAAATCAGCTGATGTCACTCATTCGGTATCCAGGAGAAGATGTGGATGTCGCGAACTGGAATTCAAAGAAAGTGGGACTCACATAGGCGTGTCATAAGTCTTCAGCAGGTCCCTGCCCTTCAAGTTCGCGCGTATGAAGGTCTGTCCCAGCGCAGGGATGAGATATAACGATCCCAGCAGTGCGAGCAGCGAAAAGCCTAGAGACGCGTGCAAGGCAGGAAGGGGCGGCGCGGGGTCCAGCAACGGTCGGAGGAGGAACCAGAACGCAGTAGGAAGCAGTACATATGGTAGGACCCTCGGAAGCCGTCGTGGACGCAAAGCCGCTTCCTGTGCCATCTTGCCGCCCCCGTTGAGATTTCCGGCACTCATAAGATCAGAGGGAGATGCGAGTTCAGCGTTAAGCGGGAAGAGTAACAGAAGGATGCATTTCTGCAGCGAGTACTCGCGCACCTGCACTGAGGCAGGGGACGTGTCGTCGATCAGCGGAAACGCGGTCCACGTGGCTATAATAGCATCTCACCTGATTGACAGCCGGCAAACGCCACCAGAAAACCCCGACGTATTATATAATGTCGTGGTGAATGCCAAGATATCCTTCGATAGCTCAGTTGGAAGAGCGTGGGACTGTAATGGTTGACCTGCCTAATCCGGCAAATTGACATCCCAAGGTCACTGGTTCGACCCCGGTTCGAAGGATTTATTTTCCACATTTTCCCTCCACCGATGCTCGACTAGAAGATGACTGATCCAACCGTGAGGCTCGTTTACGATCCCAAATTGCAAAATATATCCAGTCGTGATTTGCAGCATAAATGTGGAGAGTTGTTAGTAGCAGCAAGGTGCCAGCAGCTGCCCCAGCTGTGCAAGGTTAGGCAGTACCCATAGCGAAGGTACTATGCAAACACACCAACGGCAGCATTAATCCTTTCCAGACCCTCTAATGTAATGGGGCACTCATACATATAAGTTCTGTGACCACAGGTATGAACCCGGTTAGCATTTGAGAACCCACTTTGTATGCTTCTTTATTCATTCTTGTTGAACACGCTACTATACGTTGTGTAGACATGAGGGCGCCGACGTGCCTCATTAGTCCTAGAGGTCCAATCGGCAAGCCAGACAATACTGCCTGTGCAAGAAGAGGTTCTCGCATGCTGAGCAGCGTGCACCTACCATATATATAGTGGCTGAGACTGGGCACCTGCAGACTCATGAATCTCTTCCTCAAACCACCATGGCACCACTGCAATCAGCTCAAGAGGTCATGGACGTCTTGCAGCATGGACACCCCTGCCTTGGCAAGATGAAGGCAAGGTGTGTGTTCCGTGCCTCAGTGCCATTGCTGGGCTGGCTGACATCCACTATCTGTCAGGCAGGAAAGTATGGCGAGCAAGGTGCTCACAATCACGAAGAGGCACATGACAGCAATCAAATTATATGTATGTGTGTTCCAGTTTCACATGAGAACATGCTGTCTCACCAGACCATAAAAGGAAGCCATCAAAGAATGGAGGGAGGTGCGCATATACCTGGCCAACATTGACAAGAACATTCACACTCACAAGCATCCCACAGGCTATCCAGCAGGAGGTTGACACAGGCGTTCTGAACTATGCCAATGGTGTCTGGGAACTCCCTGAGGATCCCAATGAGCACGAGCGCATCACAGGCGAACTGGAGGCATGGGCCCTCGGGGTGGAGCGGCTGGAGATGACCCAAGCTCTGGTCACTCTGGCGCAGCAAGCCCTGGCTGTGGGACTTTTTGACCACACAGAAGATGCATTGAACTGGGAGGTCCACACATACATTGGTGTGGTGGGGGCAGGGGCGCACCCAAAATGATATGTTCAGCTAATACGACCCCCTTGTACATTATGTGAGGTTCTCTCCATGTAGCATCCCAGCCATGATCTATCATGAATCAATGATGCCCTCTGGTCGTGCACCCCGTCTCAATGATGCCCTCTGGTCGTGCACCCCGTCTCAATGATATCATCGTTGGGGACCTGACATCACCGTCGCCCTCGTCGAGGATCAAATCACCCAGGATCCCCATTTTGGGACATCAGGGGCAGGGTATATAAGAGCGACACGTCACTCGAACCTCCCCCAACACTCCTTGTCCCCAACACCCATCATCGTCAAATGTACCTCTCGCCTCACATATGTCGGCCTCTCGCAAGAACATGTGAGCTGCATAGTGTGTCCTTCTCTCACAGTTTGGCTGACCTCATTATGGCAGCAGTTCACACCTCAAGAACAAGCCTTCTGGCAGACTAGGCTCAGTGAGTCTTGTCTTCGTGGACTGTATGTGCGCGGCATTCGTGCACGACATGGGCATAGCTGCATATCTGCCCGCATATACTGAGCCTGCGCATATATGTGGCTCATCGTATGCATGCATGCGCACTGTAACTGACAGGCTTGCTGTTGCGCAATTGTCCTCCAACTGAGCACAATCCTTGACTGATATCTATCCTAGCACACATCTGGGGCTCTTGCCACTTTCAAGCGGCCCACCCAAGGTTCCAACAAGCACGCTCTGCCTGCCAGTGACATGAACAATGTGAGTACCCACTTTGCTGATTGCATGCCTCGAACTGATGATGTCATTAGGGCCAGCGTGCACCCAAGCAACCTGCAAACATATGTCAGCATTTATCCTCACCTGCATGTTGCCAGCCCATTGACCATCATGCAGGGAGCAGTGAAGGCCAGTGCGGCCACTGTTGTGGCGCTGGCCAAAACGAAAACCGTTGAAGTGGCCCTGGTCAAACCTCCAACAACCCCTGCTGTGCAAGAGCAGCAAACAGAGATGTGTATGCCTGTCGCGGCGACTAGGCGCGTAGACACCAGACGTCGATCGGCGACGGTCTGAGGGGCGAGCGGCGAGGAGCCGAAAGGGGGGAGTAGAGAGAAAGCTCGACGAGGGCAGAGCAACGACCGGCTCGGAGGCACGAAGTTGTTGATAGCTAGTCTTCATGCGCACTGCGACAGACTAGTCCCAATGACCAGGATTATATTAGCACAGAGACAGGGGGAAGTACATGAGGGAAAGCGCACCTAGTCCCAATGACCAGGAGGTCGAGATGGGGACCAGGTAAGCGCTGGGAGGGGCTTATATACTAGTCTACTCTGAACAATCACGTGCCAGTGGAAGTGACTCATGCGGGAAAGGGAGCGAGGCTGTACAAGTGGGAGACAAAAGGGTGGGAAAATACATGGTAATGGGATGGTAAGTGCGAGAACAAGGCATGCGGTCGTGGGAACAGAGCATACGGGCGCGAGAATGAAATCAAGGGGTCCAAAATGGGATGTGTACGAAGTAGGAAAGGGATCAAGATGGGGAAGTGGAAGTTCCAGGGAAAACGAAAAGGGGTGCTGGTCCACTGACCGTGACAGTGCCCATATTTGCTGATTGTTTATGGAACCCTTGGTAACACACCGGCCAGGTGTTAGATGAAGGAGATGACACTGGAGATGTAGCCGAAGCCAATGGCGATGACGAGGGCGAAGGCTATGCCAATGCGGACACTCTGGTCGAGGTGGAGCCTGAGGTTCAGGGCAACCAGGGTAAGGCCACCAAGAAGCGCACCCACTCTGCTCCCGCCGTGCAGGACGTGCGCACCCTGGCGGAGAGCCGTGCACAGCTCTGCTTCAGTTTCAGCAAGGCCCTCCCCCATGGATGGAAGTTGGACCATGGCTCTACGGAGGGGCACATCGAATGCATGAAGGTTGGCATCCAGGCGGTGAATGCCGCAGCTCAACGTGCGAGCACTGCAGTGTCGTGCATGGGTGAGCTAGCGGCTGAGGACCATTGCCATGCTGAAGCCCGCCAGGCGGCTGGCCTACCCCCCATGATGCCACTTGTCTCTCATGCTCTGTGGGTGCAGGTCCGCAACATGGTTGTTGGGCTGCTCCTCCCCAAGCCGGAGAAGTCTTTCCTCTATGGCGTCCTGGATGGTTACACTGTTGACCAAGGTGAGGCATCTAGTGGTGTTTGTTTCATTGATATGATCCTGACACTACCTGCAGAAATGACTGTCTTTGGCCGGACGGACAAAGTCGACAAGGACCTTGCTGAGCTGGCCTGGGACCTCTACAATACACAGCTTTTGGATGGACAAGCTGACACCACCGAAGAGGTTCCAGATGAAGAGTGAAGAAGTCCTGCTGCACACTCATGTCACCACGCTGCTCCGAGGTGTACAACCCAAGCTGTGGGGCCCTGGGCACCAGAGATGAGAGCTCTCGTCGCCCCAGCTCTGCTCCTGCACTTTTCATCCTTCTTGGAGCTATCTGTTTTCACTGTATCAGTACCCTTTGCCAAAGTGAGGCCTGGAATCCTGTTCACCGAAGCCACGTTGCACTCTGAGATTCTTCGCTTTGCTATGTCCGGTTGCATGTTTCTCTGTTGTACCAGCACATAGTCCGATGTATATCCAACCCAAATGTCAACAAGATGAAGTTCTTGCGACCTTGTTGGGTGCATACATTGATGCATGGGCTGGTCTTGGAGACCAGATGCCCACCTGGCCAATGCACTGGCCACCCGCACTAAATTAGACTTGGCGCCAGTGTGGAAACAAATGGCAACAGGCGCCAAGCGTTGCTAGGCGAACTCGTTCTCCCTCTCTCGCTCAAGCCTGTGGTTTCCTGCTCGCTCACTCATGCCCCGTGCTGGCTCCGTGCACCTGATTGTTCTCATTATATTCACGGATCGGTTCATCACCTCTGCCCATTACCAACACTGGAGGCCTAGGCATGGTTGACCCCTCCAGTATTGGTCGGCAGCGCCCTCGCGGGGACAAATACGATGCACAATGGGCACAGTTGAGCACAAGCATTGCAGAGAACAGTTATGCAGCCCTAGTTGAGGAATGTGCTCATGGCCATGTCAAATGGGCCATCACTACCACAGACCGTCGCCATAATGTGCTTCGGCGATTCCAAATGATGCACCAACAGGCACCATGGAAACATTATAAGGGGTGAGAGCTTGTTGTGGAGGACATCCTCGGTGCATCGTCTCCTGACATACTGATCAACGGACCCGGATTGTAACATTGTCCATGGCCATCAGGCCCATCACAGCTCGAGCCAAGCACTTTCTCCTTGTCATGGTTTTGGGTTCCAGATTGCAACAGGATTCTACCCTCAAAGTGATATATTCGACTCTGGACATGTTGCACTCGGATTTAGAGAGTGTCGTGAGTGATTCTATTGTTTGTACTTTTCTGGTGTTCATTGAGCTCGACCCCACACAAAGCTACACAACTACTCAGCTACTGCAGCGAGGCCCGTGGAAATACCGCCCTGCATGCACAATGGAGGAGGGAATTGGTGCAGGTTGGCAATCATCTATGTGTGTTATGAACACAGTATGAACTACATATATAGTACCAGCTGAATGTCCAGGTATCCTGGACATTGCGCCCTTTTGGTGTAGCTGGTACAGCGGCTGGTCTGTTCCTAATATAATGTCCAGGATCCAGCAGTCGAGGGTTCAACTCCCGGTGAGCGCAAGCTTTGGTGTTGCCCTGGGCTTAGTGTTGAGCATACTCCACTATCCCCATGGTCACACTGCCTTGCAAAACCGGGTCCTTCCAAATTTCTCAAAGACTGTCAAGGCTCTGACCCTAGGGTGGGGTTAACCCTTGGGGCCAACTAGAATATCTAGTTCCACGTGGAGACCA